CTGCAAGAGGCCAATGGGAGCACATGCTCTCGTTGGCTTCTCTTACTTCTTGAAGAATGAGGAGTATAGGATACTAGCGGGGGCAGCCCTAAGTATTTGATTTGGGGGAGTCTACACTAGACCCGCTAAATCGAACACTAGAAGATTGACCTCCACTGATCTTTTCCGTAGTGTAGATGTTCTCTTTGTAACTCTGCATTTCCCTAACTTCTGGTGATTAAAAAGAAAAGGTGTGTGTCTAGTTACTGAAATAAAGTTTGAACCTCTGGATTTCATAACCGAGGTCTGTTTAAAGTCCATATTCTAGTCCCAAAGGCAGTTCTTAAATGCAACAGAATTTGAGCTGCTTGCAGTATTGCCTGTAGGGTACGGAGTTTGTTATAAAAAAAGGGAGGCTGGGTGATTAAGAATAACAAAAGGCTGGCCATTCAGGTAATTGATGGATCATTAGATCACCAAGAAAACATTGCCAGGTACTCCACTTAAAAGATAGGGAGGAAAAAAGAGTAGGAATGAGTGTTGTGCTACAGGTATCTGCATTTGGACCACTGCTGTTAAACTTTTCATAAATGTTCTTGAAAAAGGGGTAAACAGTGACTAATCCAAAGCTGACTGCAAAGAGTGGGTGATTGGGCAACAGAAGGGAAAATGGAATTCAGTGTTGATAAGCGCAAAGTAACGCACATGCATATGGAAAAATATAATCTTCACAATAGAAAGAAAAATGATGGGGTCTAAAATAGCTGAAACCATTCAAGAAAGAGATCTTGGAATCATTATAGTTAATTCCCTGAAAACATTTGCTCAATGTTCAGTGGCAGTTTGAAAGCTAAAAAGCTAACAGAATATTGGGACTCATTAGGAAAGGAATAAATAATAAGACAAAATATAATATTGCCTCTATATAAAGTCATTGTATGCCCACATCTTGAATATTGTATTCAGATTTGGTCACCTCATCTATAAAAAGATATATTGTATTTGGAAAAGGTACAGAAAGAGCAACAGAAATTACTAGGGGATAAGGAACAGCTTCTATATGAGGAGAGATTAACAAGACTGGGACTTTTCGGCTTGGAAAATAAATGACTAAAGGGTGGGGGATATGTTAGAGGTCTTGAAAATCACGAATGATGTGGAAAAATAGAATAAGGAAATGTTATTCATTCCTTCAGTTAACATAACACAAGAAGATGACTTATAGGCAGCAGATTTAAAACAAACAAAATGGGCAACAGGGGAGGGATAATGATGATTGCCTCTTGTGTTTATTCCTTCTGAAGCATGTGGCATTGGCCACTGCTGGAAGACAGAGTACAGGGCTAGGAGGACCATTGGTCTGACCCAGTATGTTCTTATATAGAGCTGAAATTTATCTGTTCCCCACTGTAATCCACTAGACCCCAATACCCGTCTGGATGGGGTCTCTCTCTCTCTCCGCAGAATTAGTAACAAAATAAGAAGATATATTAAAATGTTAAGGCTAACCAGAGTCCCTAAAAGACTTGCCACAAGATGTCGGAATATGGTAGTGGTAGAGCTGAGTGGGTCTAATATTTATTTAATTTTCTTTTTTTAATATAGGAATTAGGTACAGTGCTCCTGTCAGCCAACTGTGCAGTTGTCTGCCAAAAAAAGTAGAGTTTTCCAATGCCTTAGTTGCCCCTGAATAGAGATGAGGGGGGCGGTGAATGGGGTTGTTTCCCTTCCTAACCCATTTGATGCTTCGCTTGTACTGAGCTTCTCAATAACACTACTAAAGCCTCTGTCCTCAGGCCACCCCCTCATGCTCTCACTCTCTTCCCCCCACCATCATGGCATGCACAGTTTGCCCCCCAATCAATCTGAAGTGACGCCCCACCTTTGAGGAGGATATGAGACCAGCCATTTCAATAAGAGCTTTAGTGCAAGGGATATACATTCTTTGGATGTATTCTTTATATATTTATTTCTTAAAATGTGCTCTATATTTACTCCTGGAAAACACATCTTACCATCTTAATAGTTCACCTCATAACCCCTTTTTAACCTTTTTTTCAGTCTTTTAGACATAAATGATCACCTGCCTTCTTAAATTCACTTCAGAACACTAGTTAGAGTAGCATTTATGCCTACAGTGCAGTTCAGATGTATATTCTGACAGTCATTTTCACCTATTTGTGAAGTCTGCAACTGTAGTTTGTTTGCAATGAATTTTTGTGCCGTGCCAAATCCCACTCTAGTAGAAGAGTTTTCACTGAGAGTTGTGGCTTTATAATTGGCTCTCCCAATTCAAACCTAATTTTTTATCTATGTTTGGTTACCCTGAAGTGATTTCCTGACATGTGCCCCTTTACTAAAATTATCAAATTTTTAAAAACCTACTTGGCCATTTTTCTCGTACTGAGTGCAGAACTCAGGACAGACACACACACACCAAAAAATAAAATAGTATCTACAAAATAATAGCATAAAGACAGTTTCCTTCTTACAGATGTGTCAATATTTCCATGTTTTAATGTACTCTGAAGTTCATCAACTACACCCATTCAGAAAAGATAAATAAGACTTTGAGAGTTACTGAATTATGTTGTTGATCTCTGTACATCACAAAAGTATTTTAGCGCAAAAATTTCCATAATTCAGATGCTCACAGTCCAAAGTTTCTAAAAAATCATGTCTATGTATTGTAGTAGGCAGGATTTAAAATGCTGCTGTAATATTAGCAGTTTATATCATAGTACCATCAATGTTAGAGATGTAAGAAGCCTGTTAGGACATCTAGTCCTTTCTGCTGATAATACTGTGTTGTTCCCTATAGTGCATTTTCTGGGGTTATCTCCAGTCAGTGTTTTTAAATGTCACAAGTGATGGGGTTTGAACTACTTTCCTTGAGAGACTATTCTACAACCCAACAGAACTCACCATTAGGAGGCATTTTCCCCTGCTGTTCACTATAATTTTTCCATTGTTTAAAGTTTCACACTGCTTGTAGTTTTCCTCTCTTGGGTAACCCAAAGCAATTTCTCCTTTTTCCTTGGAGTCCAATTTTTGGGTCTGCTAAAGCTATTTTGCATCTCAGCGGTAGCACAAAGTAGCCTTGAAATCAGTTTAAGCAATCAGTGGAAGAATCCTCAGGTTGTGCAGAGACATTTTCTGAGTATCTATATCATTTCCCCTCTGACATAAAGGGTCTGACCATTAGCAGTACCACTATATGTGTAGTTCAGAACAGCTTTGAAGCCTTTTTTTTTTTCTGCCATATTGCACAGCAGAGTCTTGGTAAATTTGCTCTTCACTCTCAGCCTTGTCTTACTACTTCCCAGGTTTCTCCCTCCCTTAGAGTATTGGTGTCTGAGTTTATTTTTCCCTAGTGTATTACCTTACATTTATATAGCTGGCATTCCTCTTAGTTATTTCCTTTGTATGCTTCTAATCTCTCTGTTCCCTTCCTATTATTTCTCACTCTTCAGTGGTACTTATCATGCCTCCCAATTCAGTATCATCAGTGAATTTCGTTAACTGGTTGTTTACTCCCCTCTTCCAGATCATTAACGAAGATGTTAAATAAGCCTGGACCTAACATGTTCTTTACTAGGAACCTCCCCTACACTCGATACATTGCCTTTTATTGTTATCCTTTGCACAGTCGGTTAGCTGAGGATTCAATACACGTGGCAATGTGTCTACGGAAGCTGATTTTACTTAATTTTTCAAATAAGATTTTGTGAGGGACAACATCAAATGCCACACTAAGATCCAGATATATTGTATCGAGCGCATTTCCTTCAACCAGTACTTTTTAAAAAGCAATCAAGATTGTCTGGCAGGGTGTATCATTTATAAACTCATACTGTTGTGGTACTAGCAATGTAGTATTTAAAGCTGCCTCAATAATTTTGGAGTTTTGCTTTGTTTGTTTGTTTTACAACATCCATGTTTATCTACAGTAGATGCGTTTCTTTACCTTTGCATTTGCAACTAGACACAATAGGTTGGACATCCAAGGGAGTTTGCCGGACCAGGGGAGATCAATTCTGGCCCTTCAGCTGACAGACTCCAGGCTCTCCTGGGGTCTATCAGCCAACCCGACTGGGACCCCTCTAAGCTCTATGTCCCTGCCAGGCTGTCCTGCCAGCCCAGCTCTCCTTCTGGGTGCTGGAAGAGGTACCTAATCAGGGGCATTGAGGCCAGTGGCTGGCCTCCAGCAGCTGAGTTCCCTGCCCTTGGGCCACTGGCCCCTGCCAGGCTCTGCAGCTGGTCTTGCCTAGGGATGTTAATGGTTAACCAGTTAACTGTTGAGCCTCACCCTTAATGGGTTAGGATTACTGGTTATGGCTAAGTGGTTGGGGGCTGGAACAGCTCCCTCCTGCACGCCCCTCCCCCCATAAGAACATAGCCACTCCATTCTGTCCATTGCAGGTGGGGATTGCTCCAGCCCAGCTGCACTAGAGCGCTCCCTGCCCCTGCCCATCCTGCCATGTAATCAGTTAACCTGGTAAATATAACATTTAAGCATATATCCGATTAAATGGAATTTTACATACCTAGCCTCGCCCAGCCCCTGGCCTCCACACTCCTGGCCGGGCTCTGCTGCGGGCCCCGGCTGTGGGCTCCCTGATCTTCTCCCAGCTGCCAGCCCCCTAGTTCCACTTCCAGCCACTGGACACCCAGAGAGAGGTTCAACCTGTGCAAAAAAAAAATAATTTTTTTTGCATGATTATGTTTGAAGCTAAGAATTTCCCACACTGCAATCAAGGGTAATGGCAACAACTCACAGGTGTATATATATCACATAAACAAGTGAAACATTGATTATGAGGACTGCAATAACAGTCCTGTATCCATAGCATAATCTTCTCAAGTGATATTTAATCAGGTGAATATTTACATCTTAAAAAACATGAAAGGGGAAAATGTTAATGACTGAACTGTGTGGAGGAATCGCAAGGAAGATGATACAAACAAGTGCTTACCACCAGAGCGATAAAATAAAGGTTTAATTTAATATATCCTTACAGCACTTGGGGAGGACCAGCCACAGGCAGTCAGTTGGTGTAAACTGACAAAGATCCACTGAAATTGATGGAGCTACTCTGATTTACATCAGGTGAGAACTTGGCCTCCTAATTTTTTTCTTGCCTTCACTTTTTCTATAGTTTCCATCAAGTGGTCTGCAAAGAATATACTCCAGGTAGCTTTTTTTTTTTCAGGCTTCTCATAGCTTGAGTAGAACTTGTGGGCAAGCGGTAGAGGGGGAACAGGGATGAAATTCCTGGTACTTTTACTGGGAACGTGGCAAGTCCCAAATAAGCTGAAATGTTTAATGTTGCCAAAAAAATTCTACTACTATTTGTATTTATGAGGCTCACACTCAACTTATGAGCTTTAATTAACATTTCTTACAATGAAGGGCCAGTTCCTATTCACACAGTGGGATTAAGGAGCTTCTCATGCCCTACCTGAGTGAAATCAGAGAATGGAATTTATGTTTGTCAAATAGGATTTTGACAAACTTGGGTGGCAAAGGATAAGAATGTTCAGAGGTGAAATCTTGGCTCCAGTGAAGTCAATGACAAAATTCCCATTAACTTCAATGATGTGGTAGGATTTCACCCAGGATATTTTATAAGTGCAGAAATTAAGAGGATTGAGAAGGGTTTGAGATGGAAAATCAACATCGGTTACTGATATCCTGCTTTTAGGTTAAGAGTCCTGCCCCATTAAGAATCATTTTAATATGGTCCACTCTTGTTGAAAAATGGCATTTCTGCTTAATAGTTCTGCTGAGGTGAGACAACTCAGCACTAATTTATATCTCCACTGGATTTTTTTTTTTTTTTTGTGCCACCATGAAGGGAAATACAATAGGAAGAGGGTAAATTATTTGTTCCTTCACACTGAATTGCTTCAGACATACAAACTCTTATGTTACTTTCCATCCAATATAGAAACAGCTTTGTCTACAGACTGTATTACACACTGAAAAATATTACCTCCATGAAGTTAGCTATGTTTTTGAATGAGCCAATGACATTAAATACACAAGGAAATTCAGTAATTATTAAGTGTTGTTAACTGTTGAACACTGGAATACAAGATGCTCCAACTCCTTGGGCTGTCAAGTAGGAAGTGCCTGTATAATCCAGCACACTGCTTATGGTTTGCTAGTTGTCATGAATTCACAAATCTAGAGCCCTGGGTAATTGAGTTCTGCTTTTTCTTTCTCAACTCCAAATATTGCTGAACCAACCAAAGAGATGGTGAAATGTCCATACTTTGCTTTGCTTAGAAGTCCACCAAAACTACTGTCCTTTTTGCTATGTATCCACACTCAGCACACCCTTATAGTCCGCTAGAGTTGTCCATGAAACACAGGCATGAACAACCTGGACTGGATTTACATAAAATCTCAGTCAAATTCACTTCCCTCTTCATTATTTAGCTGAAATATAATTGTTTTCTGAGCCCAATAATCCTGCTTTGTTTTCTGATAATCTAGCCGCTTTCATCAGCTAGTGACTTTCTAGATGTCATTTGGGAAAAAATTAATAAGATACAACAGATGCACCTGCAAAATTTTAACTAAAATATGTGTGTTCCATTGGAGGGATGAATTCTGCAATGTCAGAAGCCCCACTTTTGAGACCAAGGACATGTAGATTCATGGCCGGCCCTCAACATTTTGGCACCTGAGGCAGGGAGCTCAAATGATGCCCCCATTCTCCCTCGCTTGGGCCAAAACTTTGAAAGGTCTCAATTCTTATTCCTGTTCTACTCCTCTCATGGTGCATGGTACTTTCTGTTATTCCCTCTCACCTTTTCTCCAGCCTGCCTGTTATCTCTTTTGTGCCCTCCTTCCTCCAGCACACCATTCCATCATCTCTGTGCATCTAGAGCAGAGAGAATACATATGCACCAGCAGCAGACACAATTTTCTACACTCTGGGTCCTAGTGGCGCCCCCCCCCCCCCCACAGTCTGGCACTTGAGGCAGCTGCCTTAGTTCGCCTCATGGTAAGGCCAGCCCTGTGTAGATTTCCAGTCATTTCCTGAGGGAATGATGAGTGAAGGTGTTTCATTTTTTGTGATTCTTGCCCTGAATTTTTTTGCAAGTTGGTGTCATGTGATGAAAAACCTCCCTGAATTTAGTAGCCTATTCCATCACCATTTCATCGCTTCTTGTTACTGCAGTTGTTATATTTCTTTTGGTGTGTTATTGAATAGCTGCAGAACATATTCATCCTGGATTGATGATATCTCTATGGCACACTCGATGACTGGATGGCTAATTGGCTATTATAGCTGTAGCTCACAATAAGATATTTTTACCTTATCTGAAGGCCTTTCTAAGAAGATCCCCAGTGTTGGGAAATGATAATTTAAAAGTTTATTGATTTCCATACTTGCTGCCTGGGGATTTAATAGAAACATGTTTTCCTTATCTAGTACTAAAGTTTGGAGATGCATGTTACACTTAGAATGTTAGATTTTCCTACCCCATCAAACTTAATTTGAATTGGGACTGCTGTTTGAAAATGGCACAGCTCTGTTTTCTTTTATTTGTGAAGACAATAGAGGGTAGTACCTTTTCAACTGCTATAACCACTTCTTTCTTTATTTTTTGTACTGGCTTATGTGCAACCAATCATTTGGAAGTAATGGGAGATTAATTTCCTATCACAGTAAAAAGTTCTCTGGCCATTTTTTTAGACTCTAGTACAATTAAAATCTGGAGCCTCAGTGCAATAAACTTGTTCATTTGATTCTCAGACTTCAGGGCAGAGTGGCAATTTGATTCGCAATCTCTAGTCTAGAGGATTGATCCCTAAAGGCCAGGAATGATGGCTTAATCACACCACAAAGCTACAGTGATTAGGCCTCAGACTAAATGTAGATCTGCAGTGAATGCTGGTGAACAGGCTTGTGAGCTAGCTGTTGCTCAGATAGTAGGCTCTCACTTCATTATAAACCTGACCATGTCCAAAAGACCTGTGCCTGGATCATGATCAGTGGAACTGGACTCAGGGCCCATTTTCATTGGCAGAAGTGTTATTGGTGAGACACCAGGAAAACAGGTCCCGTGGGGAGTTAGCTTGGATGCAGTGTAGTCACATGCACAAAGCACTGAACTATTATTCACAATTTGGGAGGTCAATGTCCGGCCTGATACAAGAGGCAAGTCAGCGATTGGCAGACTGAAGGCCCACCTACTGAGATATGACATTCCAGAAACGGTATCCATTGATAATAGACACCAGTGGCCTCAGAGGAATTAAATTAATTTGCAGGCAAAGGGCGTGTGACCATCACACCTCCTCCCCAGCATTTCCACAGAGTATTGGTAAAATGGAATCAGCTAAGAAACTGTTACACAAGGCTGTTTCTTGTGATTCCCACCCTCAGCATTTTTGGCACACAGCAAAACCCTGTTAAAGCCTCTATATTGCCCCCTTGTGGTTCAGCATGGCCGTGTTCCCCCTGATGCCTGGTCTCTGAGGCTATGTCTAGACTACGCCCAGAGGTATCCTGCAAAAACCCTGCCAAGTCTAAGGAACGAGTTTGCTCCTCTGCTTTTTTTTTTTGCAGAAGAGCAAATGCGCTCTTTCGGGGAGCCCTGTATAACTCATTTCACAAGGCATAGGGGCTCCGCTGAAAGAGGAGGAGGCATTTCCACCATTTGGCCCCATCTGGACAAAAGCGAAAAGCGATAGAAAAAAGCTACGCAAATTGCGGAATGCAATTTGCATAGCTTTTTCCGATAAAGCCCCATAATCTAGACCCAGCCTGACTGTCACCACCTCTTTCAGAGTCCAACACAACCATACATTAACCTTCCACTTGAGTCCCTATCCCTTTTAGTGTATTAAAGTCTATAAATTAAAGATACATAAGAACTCAAAACAGGATGAGACTTTGGAAACACTCTAAATTTCTACTCAGGGCCTGTCTTCTAACAGCCACTCCTTTGCTTTGGGTCTGCTGGTTCTGTCACCCCACACACCCAGAGTCTTGTTCAGCCAGCATGCTCTCACCGACGCCAGACTGAAACCAGCCTTCCCTCACCAAGGGAGAAATAGGGCTTTGCTCCCCTTCCTGGTAAAAGCCAAACTGTGTAGGCCTTCTCCTATTGACTCCTCTCCAGATATGATATCACAGGCTTTTAACAACCTGACCCTGTCAGCATAGTTCCTTTATGCCCCATTGAGGGGAAGGTATAAAAATCAGGTGCAAACAGCACTTTTCTACTTTCTAGTAATTCTCCATGCATTCAGGGAAATCCCACCCTGGGTGAGGGGAAGATCGTGTTTCATTTGCTGTTCTGCCTGGGCTATAGAGCATGGCCATGGAGACTGAAGAGGTTATCACAAATCCAGACCTTCTCTGGTCACATTCTTTTCTTGCTAGCCCTCCTCCTGCCTCAATATTTTTAATGTTGCCCTTACTGGCCGAGGAAAGATTGTGGGTGCCTTATATCTCTTCAGCCTCCACACTGCATAAATGCCCCATGACAGATCCTTGGACAGGGCCTTTGTCCTGTTGCCAGCACAGACCCTGGAGTGAATCTGACTCACTCTTTACAAATTATATCTTACACATTTAAGAAAGTAATACTTATCATCATTAACTAGATAAGTTACAACAGAAAACCACTGTGGGTAAAATGATGACATAGCTAAGACAGATGAGCCTGAAACAGCGTGACCTTGTACGGCTATTTCTGTGGTGAACTTATGTTTAAAAGTAACAAAACATAAGAGCAGGACTTGGCTGAATATGTATGCTACTGAGCAACTTTGGGCATAAAATTAGCAGCACAACAATAAAATAAGCCAGGATAGCATGAATGTGCATGAGAAAACTTGATTTAAACTGTCATTTCTGATTCTACCAGTGGTGATATGGGCCTGCTGATGTAGGCCAGCTGTACTTAATGGAGAAGACATTTCCCTCTGGACAAGAGCCAAAGAGGGGTTCTCCTACCACCATCCCACTGGGTTTGAGTTAGAGCCAGTAATCTGGAAGCACTAGGTATCTATTATCGGTCAGTGACCTCCAAAACTAGTCAAAAAGGAAACTAACATCTCTAAGGAGAATAAGTTTCATTTTA